GGGGGGGGCACTACTGGTTCGAACCCCCCTACAGTCACTCGCCAAGCATATCCATACTAGTGCAACATACAAGGCGTTCTTTGTACACCCGCCTCAGGCTCGCCTGACGACGGGCAACCGCGCCAAGGTCGCCGAGAAGCAGGTGACTGCGCAACTTCCTTTGGTTCCCTTTCTGGTCTAGGACTGAGTATGCCCTCTCTTTCGGGCACCCCTGGTCCAGTCCGTCTCCAGCGTTTCGGCGCGTGCTTGGCTATCCTCTTCAGGACCTGCCACAACCAACCACACGGGGCAGGCCGACGCTGTCACGAACGACACATATGTTTCCGACTGTGCGAAAACACCACGCGTACATTTTTGAATGCAAAGGTACACTGTATCTGGCTGTATTCTGAGACTCCGTCGTACACCCCAAAATTGCCAGAAGATGTCAAGCAAGGTTATGAGAACCTGCTGTTTTGGCCTGCAAAGACGGGAGGAAACAACTGCCCCCTCTTTCGTAACACCGCCAGCAACCGCAGCTAAGCTGGGCGACTGCCCCCTTTTCCATGAGCGGACTCTAACCACGACCCAGGGGCGTGAGCCACCCGACCCCTGCGTTAGGCGCTCGTGGATAATAGGAGAGCATGTGCGAAGCCATCTTCTTGGTAAAGCCACCATTGCTACCTCTCTGACTGGTGGGAAGAAGGCCGCACCACCGATGACGAGTTCCTGGAGAGACTTTCGGCTGATAACAAGGCACTCGCCAAGCATATCCATATTAGTGCAACATACAAGGCGATCTTTGTACACCCGCCTCAGGTTCGCCTGACAACGGGCAACCGCTCCAGGGTCGCCGAGAAGCAGTTGACTACTCAACTTCCTTTGGTTCCCTTTCTGGTCTAGGACTGAGTATGCCCACTCTTTCGGGCACCCCTGGTCCAGTCCGTCTCCAGCGTTTCGGCGGGTGGTTGGCTATCCTCTTCAGGACCTGCCACAACCAACCACACGGGGCAGGCCGACGCTGTCACGAACGACACATATGTTTCTGACTGTGCGAAAACACCACGCGGACCTCTTGAATGCAAAGGTACACTGTGTCTGGCTGCACTCTGGGACTCCTTCGTACACACCAAAAGCGCCAGAAGATGTCAAGCCAGGTTCTGAGAACCTGCTGTTTTGGCCTTCTCAAAGACGGGAGGAAACAACTCCCCCCCTTCCCCCCCCTCCGGGGGGGGTCACTACCGGTTCGAACCCCCCCCTAGAAAACCGGGGGGGTCACTACCGGTTCGAACCCCTCCCCCCCCCTCACCGCCAGCAAACGACTCCCGGTCCCTACCACCGTCCGCACCACATCCCCCACTGCTGTTCCCAGCACCACTGTCCTCACCACCACTGGCCCCACTGGTTCCACCACCGTCCCTACTGTCCCCACCTGTGCCCCCACCACTGTCGCACTGTCCCCACTGTCCCCACCACTGTTCCCACCACGGTTCCACTCGCCCCACTTTCTCCACGGCCCCAACCACTGCCCGACTATCCCCACTGTCCCCACTGTCCCACTGTCTCCTCCGCTGTCCCACTGAGCTGTCCCACTGTTCCCACCACTGTCCCCACTGTCCCCACTACTGTCCCCACTGTACCTCTGTCCCATTGTCCCACCGCCGTCCTCGCCACCGCCTTCACCACTGTCCCCACCACCACTGTACCCTCCACTGTCCCAATGTTTCCACCACATTCACACTGTCCCCACACCACTGTCCCCACCACCACCGTCCCCACCACTGTCCCTCTGTCCCCACTGTTCCCATCATTGTCCCCGCTGTCCCCACCAATGCCCCTACCAGTGTGTCAATGTCCCCACTCTCTCCACCATTGTCCCAGAACGGTCCCACTCCCCACTTTCCCCACGATCCCCACCACTGTCCCACTGTCCCCACTGTACCCGCTACTGTCCCACTGTCCCCACCGCTGTCTCACTGTGCTGTCCCAGCGTCCCCACTGTCCCCATCACTGTCCCACTGTCCCCACTGTCCCCACCACTTTCCCCACCGTGCTACTGTCCCACCACTGTCCTCACCACCGCCTTCACCACTGTCCCCACCACTACCGTCCCCACTACTGTCCCACTGTCCCCACCACTGTCCCGCTGTCCCCTCACCACTGTCCCCACCACCACCGTCCCCACCACTGTCCGCACCCCCCCCCCGGTTTTCGAGGGGGGGGGGGTTCGAACCGGTAGAGACACCCCCCGGTTTTCGAGGGGGGGGGGTTCGAACCGGTAGTGGTGACCCCCCTCCCTTTTCATGATGACCCGGGGAGGGGGGGAGGGGTTCGAACCCGTAGTGACCCCCCCCAGTTTTCCGGAGGGGGGGGGGTTCGAACCGGTAGTGACCCCCCCCCCAGTTTTGCGCCAGCAGCGGTAGAACGCGCTCTTTCCAAAATCTGGAGCCTCGAGCCTCGACCCATCGATTCGCGATCGATCGACGACGTGCCCCCGCGCGGGGGGCCCCCAAGAGGGCGCCTCGCTGCGCCCTGCGAGCAGCTCGCGCCCGGCCGCGTCATAGAGCTGCGCGGCGTACCAGTGGACGAAGACGCTCCTGGCGATCAAGCTCGCCGTCGGTCGACCGATCGAGGACGAAGGCCAGGCTCCAGAAGCAGGAGCATGCCTGGACTCGGGGCCCCTCGCCGTCAACCCCAGGGCCCCCGCCACTCCCCCCTCACGAGAGGGAGCGGAACATCGAGGGACGACAACGGCACGACCATTGAAACTTTCGGAGGTCCACGCGGATGTCGTGGGACGGCGCCAGAGCCCCCTTGGCGGCGCCTCCGGCGCCGCACCCGCGCGCTCCGCACGCCAGGGAGAAGGGCCCAGCGCCGACCCGAGAGATGCGAGCGGCCCTCCGAGAGAGTACGCCGAGGCAGCGTCTTCCCTCGGGCAGGTGGCGACGTCCGAACCCTGCCCCTTTCACCAGTCGTCGACTCTCCTGGGCCGATGGGAAGCGCGGGTGGGGTTCGGACTTCGCCGCGTGCTCGGCGAACTCGGAACCCTACCCCCCAGTTCTTCATCATCTTCTCCTCTTCGTCGTCCTTCCCCCCCCCTCCTGTGCCGGCACACGTTTGGCGTGTCTCGTGTTCTCCTTGGCGCATGTTTGGCGCGTCAGCTCTCCCGCGCTCTTGCACGCATTTGGCGTGTCTGCCCACGCGACCAGACGGACGCAAGGCTCAGTGGTGGTGCTGGTGGTGGTGGTGGTGGTGGTGGTGGTGGTGGTGGTGGTGGTGGTGGTGGTGGTGGTGGTGGTGGTGGTGGTGGTGGTGGTGGTGGTGGTGGACCCCCGCAACCCATCGAGTTGCCTGGATCGTTGATCGGCGAGGGTGGGGTCTGGATGTCGCCGCCGGCTCCGGGCAGGGTCCGTCAGCATCGAATGGGGAAATCGAGTCGGATCGGAATGTGCACATCCAGTCGGGCCGCATCGGCACTGAGTCGGAATCGACCCGCATCGGCTGCGCCAGGATGCACAACAGCACCATGCAAGCGTCGGGCCGCATCGGATCGTCGGAGCAGCAAACCCGAATCGGATCGGGCTCGCCGAAAACGGCGTGGCATCGGCTCGATCGGATCGAGACTGGATCGGGACGCTGCGTCTATGGACAAGCCCAGGTCGCTGAGACGAGGCTTCTCCAGGCCTGGATACGATCAAGTATCGAGGTTCTTCAGGATCGATTGAGGATCGAGCAACCTCTGGCGGCCTTTGAAGGCCGTCGGACGCTCTCGGAAACTCCCGGAGCGGTCTGGACGTTCTTGGAGTCTCCTGGAGGAGCGCGGGGCTTCCCAGACGGTCTCTCTGAGGTTCTCGGACGGAGATGCCCCCGGCGGTCGCCGTTCCAGGCCCGAGGATCGAGGCCCTGGCGTGCTCTCGGGGCACTTCTGGCGCCACCGCGCCTCTCGGGAGGCCTCTCGTGGTCGCGGCCGCTGCGTCGATGGACAAGTCGAGGTCTCAGATGGCACGCGAGAGGGGGGGGGACCAGCTCGGGGGGGAACACCGAGCTGGAATCGGCGATACAGCTACACCGCCGAAACATCGGCGATAGGCCCCCGACAGCGAGCCCGCATGGTCCTGGGCCCAGGGGGGGCCATCGGGCCCTCATCTCGGGGACGCGCAGACATGGGTTAGCGATCCATGGATTTGGCGCGCGGTCGCCAAATCCATGGATCGGGGGAGATGCCCTCCCCAAGATGCGGCCGGTGCCGCCTCGTTCGGCGGCGGAAACCCGCGATTTCCCGTGGAAACGGGACCCGTCGCTAATCTACGCCCCACCCTTGATCCATGTTTGCGATCGCCTGATAATCGGCGATAATGGGCGATCGGGGGTCGATGCATCCCCCCTAAGCATGTGCCCCCCTTAACGTTGCCCTTGATCAGGAGGCCCCTCTGCGTCGAGGAGACTGCGTCGATGGACAAATCAAGGCCGCTGTGACGAAGATCCTCTCTGGGTCGAGATTCGACCTCCTGTCGGCAACTCCGAAGGGTGTGCTTTGCAAAGCATGTGGTTTGCAACCCGCGCCTGGGGGGGCGGGCGAGGACCTCGACAGAGACTTCTGCCGCGCCCCGGCGACGGCTCATCAAACCTTTGCCGCAGAGTTCGGGCGACGTCAACTGACCACCTCACCGATCCTTGCCAGGGCCTATCCAGGCAGGATCGGTGTCTACGCGGCCCTGGCCGGGCCAGGACGGCCTGGATACCGATCCTGGGCCCCAGAGGTGAGGTGCAGGCCTGGTGAGGCTCGGTGCCAGCCATCCCAGGACGGGCCCCGTGCAGGATCGGCGAGCTGTTCAGTTGGTGTCGCCCGGAACGTGGTGACCCCTGAGCCCCAGCGGCGCCGATCGCAAACCACACTCCAGAGCAGCCTCACCCATTGCAATCGACGATCTGGGGGCCTCCGCAGACCTCTGGCGGTCGGCGGGGGCGCCGCTGCAGGTCTGACAGGGGAGTGCGCCCCAGGGGCCGCGCCCGCTGCCGTGCGGCGAGCCAGGCCAGGAGAGGAGCTCTGCACTGCTGCCCGCTGCTCTGCTCCTGGCGGCCAGCGTCTGTGGAGGCTCTAGCATCGATCGAGGATCGAGGTTCGAGGATCGAGGCTCGAGGGTCCGGGGTTCGAGGGTCGAGGCTCGAGGAGCCAGGCTGAAGGATCGAGGCTCGAGAATCGAGGTTCGATAAACGAGGCATTTGGACGTTCCTTGAACCCCCGTCTGGGGCCTCCGCGGAGGTATCCAAGAGGCCTCCGCGACACCTGTGGAGACCTCGGGGGATCTCCACGGGGCGTCGTCGTGGGGCTCGTCGGCGTGGGGGTCGTCGGCGTCGCCGTCGACGGCGTCATCGACGTCAGGGACGTCGTCGACGTTGGCGTCGCCCAAGGCGGCGTCGGCGGCGACGTCGGCGGCAACGTCAGCGGCGGCGTGGATTGTCGGCGTCCGCGTCGAAGGCTCAAAAAGGTCGCCGAAGCGTTCGACAACGGGGGGTCGTCGGCGTCGACGTCGGCGGCGTCATCGGCAGCAACGTCGTCCTGTTCTTGCCACCTGCCTCCTTCTCATCCTCACACAAGACCCTTTGCTCCCTCATGGTTCCTCTCCCTGCGTCCTCCTCCTCATCATCCGATCAACATCCACCATCCATCAGATGTCATCCATCATCACCATCATCATCGTCGTCATCAGCATCGTCTTCGTCGTCGTCATCAGATTCATCGTCATCGTCTTCGTTGTCATCAGCATCACCGTCATCATCGTCATCGTCATCATCCTCCGGATCCACATCCTAATACATATATCCATCCTCAACACCATCGAATTGATCAACATCATCATCATCATCATCATCAGCATCAACATCATCAGCATCATCAGCATTATCATCATCATCATCACCATCGTCATCATCTGCATCATCACCATCATCATTCATCGTCATCATGTTGTCACCATCGTCATCATCACTCTCAGCATCACCAGCACCAAGAAGGTCAGCATTCATTATCATCATCACCATCACCATCAGCAGCAGCATCATCGTCATATCGTCAGAATCATCATCATCACAATCATCATCGTCTCCGTCATCTTCATCATCATCATCTGCAGGAGCAACAGCATCGTCATCATCATAATCATCACCATCATCGGCAATAGCATATTCACCATCCGGGCATCATCATCGCCGTCACAATCACCAGCACCATCATCATCATCATCGTCGTCGTCGGCGGCGTCGTTTGCGTCGTCGTCGCCGTCGTCACCATCATCATCATCATCATCATCATCAGCAGCAGCACCATCACATTTTCTGAGCTCAGCACTCCACAGCCAACGAGCAGCCCAAGCAGCGGCGGCTGGAACCACTGCAGGCTGCGCCCAAAGTGGCGCTGACGAACTGGGCAAAGCGGCGACGGCGTCGACTGCACCGCAGAAAACAGCTGGCCCCAGGAGGGGTCCACAGCTGCCAGACACCTGTGGCAAACAGCAGGCGTCATCCGCCACTGGAAGGGACAGGCTGAAGTCAGAGACCTGAGACACTATGCAGGCGCGATTAGCCACCGCATGAAACAGGCAAAGACAAGGAATAAAACCAGCCCGAATCATCATCATCGCCTCGGCTGGGCACGGTGAAAGGGAGCCTCGAACCGACCTCCCCACGACGGGCTCCAGCAGCAACAGCAGGCTGCCACGACGAGGCACTGGCCGAACGTGAGACAGCACGCTGAGCCACAACATGCCGATGGCCGAAAAGTTCGCAGACCGAACCCACATCTACCGACACGTGGCGCCTGCGAGGGTTAGGGTGAATCCCTTTGCAAAGGTAACGCCAAAGCTGATCAGCATTCCTGGCGGGAGGTCCATCACATCCCCTGCCCAGTCCGTCAACGCGCGCACCCGTGCTGTGAAACCTGCACTTAATGCAAGCTAAAACGCGACTCCCGTCATCGCAGGGAAAAGCAATGACCTCGTGGCCAAGCTCCCACAACGCACCCTCATCAAGCTTGCTTGTCCCCGCACGCATACCTGGCGCGGGCTCCTCCTGCTGCCGACATCCAGCCAAACAGACCCTGCACCTCCACAGACCTGACCAAACTTGCCAGTCGTGACGGTCGTCGAAGGAAAACTTCGGCACAACAGACGAAATCTGGGGAGCGAGAGATAGCTCCAGGCGAGGCCATTCTAGCAGCAGCTCAGCCGCCAGCGCGCACACCGCGCGGGAAGCCTCTACGAGCCTGTCAACATCCCGGAGTCGCGCACTGTCTGAGGGATGCATGTGAACAGCATGCTTCGCCGCAATGTCGGCATGATTGTTACACTTGCGATAGATACGCTCCTGCTCGTCAACGCCTTCCTGTCGAAGGGTCCTTGTGGACGGCAACTTTGACCGCGTCAGAAGTGAGACGGCCCTCACGAGCGCTTGCTTCCCGAATGGGCCCACTGTAGACTCTCTCACCCGAGAGACGCTCAGGAAGGCGAGGCTTGGAACGCATGGCAAAAATACTGCAACCCTAATAATGGGGCAAGGGGGTACTTCGCTAAAAGACCAGCCACCCCCCTCGCTAAACATT